GGTGAGAGGCGGTGGAATGTCTCAGCCAGGCTCTGAGCAGCTAGGCTGAGAACTGGAACCACACAGTTTAAGCTCTTTTGGTCTCAATGATGTGGAGAAAGAGACCCCTGGTGGTCATAAGGATTACTGCAAGCTAAACGTGATTCCTTCCAGGCGTCCTCAAACTACTGCCCCGGGGGCCACATGTAGGTGTTTTTGCCCCCCCCCCTTTTTTTTTACTTCAAAATAAGATATGTTCAGTATGCACAGGAATTTGTTCTTAGTTTTTTTTTTTTAACTATAGTCCGACCCTCCAACGGTTTGAGGAACTGTGAACTGGCCCCCTGTTTAAAAAGATTGAGGACCCCTGCAAGACGTTCCCATTAGGGCTTAACTAGAGGTTTCACTGCTCCTGTGGACAGGACCTGCGGTGTCAAAGGCCTCCCAGAGAGAACACACGAGGTCAGTGATTTTTGACCTCCAGTGGGAGCCACAGGCAGGCCTGGAAGATGTGGATTCTGTTCTAGACCACCACAGTAAAGCTAATATTGCAATAAAGTGAGTCACATGAATTTTTTTGGTTTTCCAGTACATACAAAAGTTATGTTTACACTATATTGGAGTCTATTAAATGTGCAATAGTATTATGTCTAAAAAAATGTACACACCTTAATTTAAAAACACTTTATTGCTAAAAAAGAAAAATTGCTAACAAACCTGCTAAAACAAATTACTAACAAGCCACCACCAAAAATTGCTGGTGGAAGGTCTTGCCTTGATGTTGATGGCTGCTGACTGATTAGGCTGGTGGTTGCTGAGGGCTGGGCTCGCTGTGGCAATTTCTTAAAATAAGACAACAATGAAATTTGCTGCATTGATTGGCTTTTCTTTTCATGAAATATTTCTATGTAGCATGTTATGATGTTTAATAGCATTTTTACCTGCAGTAGATCTGCTTTCAAAACTGGAGTCCATCTTCTCAAACCTTGCCACTGCTTTATCAACTAGATTTATGTAATATTCTAAATCCTTTGTTGTCATTTCAACAATGTTCACAGCATCTTCACCAGGAGTAGATTCCATCTCAAGAAACCACTTTCTTTGCTCATCCATAAGAAGCAATTCCTCAACCATTCAGGTTTTATCATAAGATTGCAGCAATTCAGTCATATCTTCAGGCTCCACTTCTAGTTCTCTTGCTATTTCCCCCACATCTGCAGTTACTTTCTCCAGTGATGCCATGACCCTCAAAGTCATCCATGAGGGTTGGAATCAACTTCTTCCAAATTCCTATTAATGTTGATATTTCAACTTCCTCCTGTGAATCATGAATGTTTTAAATGGCATCTAAAATGGTAAATTCTTTCCAGATGATTTTCAATTTATTTTGCCCAGATCCATCAGGAATCACTATCTATGGAAACTAGAGCCTTATGAAATGTATTTATTACCTAGTAAGACTTGAACATCGAAATTACTCCTTGATCCATGGGCTTGAGTGGAGATTGTATTAGCAGGCATGAAAACAGCATTCATCTCCCTGCACATCTCCATCAGAGCCCTTGAATGACTATGTGCATTGTCAATGAGCAGTAATATTTTGAAAGGAATCTTTTTTCCTGAGCAGTAGGAAACAGTGGATTAAAAATATTCAGTAAACCATGATGTAAACAGATGTGCTGTCATCCAGGCTTTGTTGTTCCATTTCTAGAGCACAAGCAGAGTAGATCTAGCATAATTTTAAGGGCTCTAGGATTTCCAAAATGGTAAATGAGCAGTCATTGGCTTCAATATAAAGTCACCAGCGGCATTAGCTCTTAACAAGAGAGTCTGGCTGTCCCTTTTTTTGAAGCCAGGCATTGACTTCTCTCTTCTCCAGCTATGAAAGTTCTAGATGGCATCTTCTTCCAATGGAAGGCTGTTTTGTCTACATTGAAAATCTGTTGTTTAGTGTAGCTACCTTCTTCAATGATTTTAGTTAGATCTTCTGGATAACTTGCTGCAGCTTATCCATCAGCATTTGCTGCTTCATCTTGCAATTTTATGTTACAGAGATTCCTTCTTTCCTTAACCCTTTGCACTCGCTTGCTTTTTTTCTCGATTCATTTATTATACTCGGGATTTAATTTTTTAAATACCCCAGATTTTACAAAGCGTGGCAGTAGAATAACTGGAGTTTCTTTTCATATAAACTTATTTATTTGGATTTTTTTTATATTTCAAATTATTGATACATTCAAAGAGTAATTTTAATCTCTATAATTTTTGCTAACCATGTCGAGTCACACTCGACATCTGAGTGCAAAGGGTTAAACCTCATGAAGCAACCTCTGCTAGCTTCAAACTTTTCTTCTGCAGCTTCCTCAATTCTCTTAGCCTTTGTGGAATTGAAGAGCATTAAGGGACTTGATCTGAATTAGGCTTTGCCTTAAGGGAATGTTGTGGCTGATTTGATCTTTTATCCAGACCACTAAATCTTTCTCCACATCAGCAATAAGGTTGTTTTGCTTTCTTACCATTCATGTGTTCACTGGAGTAGCACTTTTAATTTCCCTCAAGAACTTTTCCTTTGCATTCACAACTTGGCTAACTGGCACAAGAGGTCTAGCTTTCAGCCTGTGTTGGCGTTTGACATGCCTTCCCACTAAGCTTAAACATTTCTAGCTTTTGATGTAAAGTGAAAGGCATGTGACTTTTCTTTTCACTGGAACACTTAGGTCATTGTAGGGTTATTAATTGGCCTAATTTCAATAGTGTTGTGTCTCAAGGAATAGGAAGGGCTGAGGAGCAGGAGAGAGACTGGGGGACTGGGAAACGGCCAGTCAGTGGAGCAGTTAAAACACCCACAACACTTATTGGTTAAGTTTGCTGACTTATATGGGTGTAATCCGTGCCTCCGCAACACAATTATAACAATAAAACCAAAGATCACAGATCACAGATCCCCAAAATACATGTAATAATAATGAAAAGGTATGAAATATTGTGAAAATTACCAAAATGTGACACAGGAGAGACAGGAAGTGAGCACATGCTGTTAAAAAAATGGTCTTGAGGCGGGGCACCGTGGCTCACGCTGTAATCCTTGCACGCTGGGATCATTTGAGCTCAGGAGTTCGAGACCAGCCTGAGCAAGAGTGAGACTCTGTCTCTACTAAGAATAGAAAAGAAATTAACTGGACGGTTAAAAATATATAGAAAAAATAAGCCGGGCATGGTGGCGCGTGCCTGTAGTCCCAGCTACTCAGTAGGCTGAGGCAGAAGGATTGCTTAAGCCCAGGAGTTTGAGGTTGCTGTGAGCTAGGCTGAAGCCATGGCACTCTAGCTGGGGCAACAAGGTGAGACTCAGTCTCGGAAAAAAAAAAAAAAGAAAAGAAAAATTGGTGTTGAAAGACATACATGACATGGGGTTACCACAAATCTTCAATTTGTAAAAAACACAGTATCGGTAAAGCACAATAAAGGGAAGCGCAATAAAATGAGGCGTACCTATATTTAGTTGCCTGGTGCTACGCCAGGTACTAAGACCTGTGGTGAGAAAAACAGATTGTCCCTGCTTTGCCCTTTTAGAATAGATGAATATAAAAGAAATAATTAAAAATAAATACATAGACATGTGCTACATAATGATGTTTTGGTCAACAATGGGTTACATATATGGAGGGTGGTTCCAAAAGATTATAATGGGGCTGAAAAATTCCTGTCACCTAGTGACATCACAGCTGTCATAATCTCATAGCAAAATGCAATGCCTCTTCTACGTTTCGATATTTTTAGGTACACAAATACCATTGGGTTACAATTGCCTACAGTATTCAGTACAGTAACATGTATAGGTTTGTAACCTAGGAGCAATGGGCCATCTAGGTTTGTGTGAGTACACTAAGATGTTTGCACAATGACAAAATCACCTGATGACGCTTTTCTCAGAACGTATATCCCTGTCGCTAAGTGATGCGGGACTGAATAGTATCAATCTGTGGGAAATACAACAAAGGGAAAAATACAACAGTGCTACGTGCGTCTAAGACAAGGAGGCATGTGATTTGGCGGGGAGGGGAAGGGGTTTCTAAAAAGACTTCTTTGAGGTGGTGACCTTAAGGGTGAGTCTCACAGCTAAACAGGAATTATTCAAGCAGAGTGTTCCAGGCAGCAGGAAAAGCATAGGTAAGGGGAAAGAGATGGGAAATGTTTGGCACTTGAGGAAATATGTAAGAGCCAATGAAGGCTGATGTGAAACACTAGCACTTGTATCCCCCTAAAACTCACTTCAGATAGGATCACATACATTAACCTCATAGAAATGACTCTGCCATTGTGGGAGAGTGTACAGGCACAGTCCATGTCCAGGACGTCTTCCTGGAATGTATGGTCATGGAAGCATACAGAGTTGTGAGAATGGTTTGAAATATTTTTGTGCATTTTCTATCTAGTCTCTTACTAATCCAGAGTTCCCCTCTCACAGGCACTGGGGGGTTTCATTGTCAGCCCCCTCCCTCCCAATCCCCTTTTCCATCCCTCTGCCCCGACCACAGGCTCCTGGCTCTAGTCTGTCAGACCTTAACGCTCAGAGTCCTTCAATTCCTTCCAAGTAGAGCACTTACAACACAGACATTTCTCTTGCTAGCCTTGATACCTCCTGTGGCATAACTGGGATGTGCTATTATGTGACCAGGTTCATTCTTTATGGTATCTTCCTCAAGTACTCCCCCCAACCCCCAAAGAGCTGGGAGGGTAAAGGAGTGAAAAGTAAAGAGTTAAAAAGTTTTTTGAATAGGAGTGGCAAGAGGGAAAAGAAAATTAAAAATTTTGTGTTGCCACATATAAATATTTGCACTAATAAAGAGGTAGAGGGCATGAGAGACATTTGAATAAGACCAACTCTTAGTTAGCTCTGCTAATGGAAAAAATAAATACTTCAGGGGAAAAATTCCAAGTTTTTAATCACACAGTCAATTTCTATAAGTTCCTTGCCTTCCTTTGAAACAACTCTTTGCCCACAATCTTTTATCTTGCGTTTGCTCTCTTGGTGGGGGCCAGTGGAGAATCCTGGAAGTTGTTCTTGACCTTCTCCCACCTATCCCTTTCCATCAACCACCAAGTCCTGCCAAATGTACTACCTATGGTAGCCCTGTAATCTGTCCATGTCCTCCCATGCTAGGTGCCTCCCCGCTCGTTGAGATCACCTCACTTCTCTCTGGATTCCCAAACAGCCCTCCCTGGGCTCCCGGCCTCCAGGCTTGCTTACCTCCAGTCTGTTTTTCAAGTTGCAGACACAGTGATTTTTCTAAAATGCAAATCTGGTCAAGTCACTCTCCTCTTTCTATCCCTTCAATGGCTTCCCATTTCCCTCTGGATGAAATCAAAGCTCCTTAAAAAGTCTTATAAAAGCCTTAAAATCTGGCTGCTGTTAACTCTTTATTCTTGTCTCTTCTTACTTTCCTAGCCAAACTCTAAATTTCAACTCTACTGAATTTTTAGCTCCTTAAAAATCCCTGCACTTGCTTTTCTGTTTTCACACACTGTGCCAGCTCCCTGGCAGGCTCTCCTTCCCGCCCCAGCCCACCCCACTGCATTGCATAACTTCTCCTCCTCCCTCCCCCTTGGTCTAGCTGCATTTCCTCTGGGAAGCCATTCTGGAGCCATTAGATTTCGTTAGTTCCCCCCAAGTGTGCTCCCACTGTACTTCATTTTTTCCGGTTATAACATCTACTGTACTGTCCCCCACAATGAAAAAGTTTCCCCTCTCCTTTTGAACAAGCAATACTCATTAAACATTGAGCTGATATATTATAGAAATAACAAAGGAAGCAAACATCACCAGTAATCACAATGTCATGGTATCCATTCTGATTATTTCTGTGCACATTATGCATGGGTACTGTGTAGTTTTATAACTTTTTCAATCAAGCAACTTATTCTAGACGTCTTTATACATGGTATTGTTTTGTTTCAATGTGTAATGGATTATTTAATCCTGTCATTATTGTATATTTAGGTTGTTTCCATTTTCACATTTAGACATGATTGCAGTGAATATCCTTATCCATGTACCCTTTATACCTAACCAGTTATTTATGAAGAATAAATTTACAGAATTATCTATAAGGTCGATATCAAATTATATCCCCTTCCACAATACGTTACTGCCTTTCCCCACAACCTTCAAAATACTAGTCTTATAAATCTTTTTCTTTTATTTTTCAACCTGACCAACAAAACAAAGATATATTTTTGATGTTTTTCCCCTAGTGACAAGCAAGGTTCAGTATCTTTATGTTTACTGGACATTTTGTTTTTTGGATCAACTTATTTGCCCATTTTTTTATTCAGTCAAGCCCCCTGGAAGCAGCACTTGAAATGAGGATTCTTGTGCAAGTGATTCATTGAGAGGGAACAAGGGAAACAGAGCAGGGCAGAAGAAAAGAGGCAAAGTTGTGGCTTCAGGAGAAATCCATCCTCAGCCTAATCCCATGGGAGCTCAGGAGCATGAATTGCCCCACCGCGGTCAGAAGGTTGGGCTGTAATGTCCTGCATCAGTCACTGGCGATTGGCCAACCTCAGAGGGGACAAAACTTTCCAGGCATCTCTGTGTAAGGTGATTTCCATCAGTTCAGGATGACACTCTGGGGAAGGATGAAGATGAGCCATTAGAACTCAACTTCTGAGGCAACAAATATGCCTCCCTGGGAAAGGGGATCTCTGTGGACACAAACAGCATTTGTTATGTTGGGTATCTGCTTTTATAATTCCTTAAAAGCTGAGGATGTTAAACCTTTTTGGAATATGTATTGTAAATGTATTTTCCTAGTTGTTGTATTTTTCTAACATTTTTATAGAAACAAATTGATAAAACTTTATTCTCTGGCTTTGATGATCATGCTTAGGTCTATTCCAATCCAAAATTATTTTAAAAAATTAACCTACGTTTTTCTCTAGTATTGTGTACAAGTTGTGTATTGGGTGTCAGATAGGGATTTGACTTAGATTTTTCCTAAATAATATTAGTTGATACTTCAATAGTTATGTTAATATAATCAAATATAATCATGGGTACATGCTATATGATAGGCCCTACTGTAAGCCCTCTACAAATATTAATCTACTTAACCTTTGTGGTAATGTCACAGGTAAGGAGACTAGATGAAGTAAGGAACAGAGAGATTATGTAATTTGCTCAAGGTCACAGCTAGTAAGTACTGGTAAATTGGGATTTTAACGAATATACTTTGTCTTCTGTTTGTGCACTTACTGGCAGGTTGTACTGCCAATTAGTATTCCAATTAGATGAACAGTTGTTTCAATATAACTTACTAAACAATCCATTTTACAACTGGAGTGTGATCCTGGGATCTCTACTCTTTCAGTGATCTTTGGGAATTTCTGCACCAGTTTGTTCTAATTACGGTACTAGTTTTTGTCATACTCTGTAATATTCAGCGGTACAAGTCCCTCCTATGAGGTTTTCCTCTGAAATTTCCTAGGTATTCTCAAATTTATTCTCCAAAACCCAAACATATAAACAAGCAAAAACATCTATAAGCATTTTGATTTGGCATTTAGATTAATTTGAGAGATAATTTGACTTTTCCCTATATTCACTTCCGGTTTTCATTAAGAATTTTCTTCACAGAGGGCGCTACATATATTTTGGTAATCTATGTCTTGTGAATAGAGTCATCTTTTAAAATTGTATTTTAAAACAGGTTACTATTAATTAAAACTATTGGCTTTTGACTGGACGTGGTGGCTCATGCCTGTAATCCTAGCACTCTGGGAGGCCAAAGCAGGAGGATCGCTTGAGCTCAGGAGTTGAAGACCAGCTTGAGCAAGAGTGAGACCCCATCTCTACAAAAAACAGAAAAACTAGCCAGGTGTGGTGGCATGTGCCTGTAGTCCCAGCCACTTGGGAGGCTGAAGCAGGAGGATTACTCGAGCCGAGGTGTTTGAGGTTGCAGGGAGCTATGATGACACCACTGCACTCTAGACTGAGCAACAAGCAGAACTGTTTCAAACAACAAAAAAACCTATTGGGGCCGGGCGTGGTGGCTCACGCCTGTAATCCTAGCACTCTGGGAGGCTGAGGCAGGCAGATCGCTCAAGGTCAGGAGTTTGAGACCAGCCTGAGTAAGAGTGAGACTCTATCTCTACTAAAAATAGAAAGAAATTAATTGGCCAACTAAAAATATGTGTAGAAAAACTTAGCCGGTCATGGTGGCGCATGCCTGTAGTCTCAGCTAGTGGGGAGGCTGAGGCAGAAGGATTGATTGAGCCCAGGAGTTTGAGGTTGCTGTGAGCTAGGCTGACGCCATGGCATTCTAGCCCAGGCAACACAGTGAGACTCTGTCTCAAAAAAAAAAAAAACAACAAAAACCTATTAGTTTTTATGTATTTATCCATAACTGGCCACTTTGCTTAATTTTAGGTACTGTCATCTTGTAGCAATTACAATAAATCAGTCATTCATGTTCTGACAAAAGTAAATATCACAAGGAAACCTGCTCTACAAATAATTTTGCCTATTATAATATGAAAATCCTATTATATCTGATGCAATTGGAGCTAGTACATAGTTATAATTCATAAAGTAGATTAAGGTGGGGCATCATAAGAAATTGAACATACATCTCCTTAAACCTATGAGCTTAAAATATATAAACATATACTCTTAAAGGTCAAAGCCCCTTTTGGGGAACATAAATGCAGCGATGCAAGATCCCAAGCTGCCTTTCTTAAGTTCTGGTCCCTTTAAGGTAGAAAGAGAACTTATAACTTCAGTGAAACAACCTGAACAACCTGAGTGCAGAATTTCTATCAGAGCACCCCAAAATCTTAGCTGTCCTGCTCTTAGCTGTCCTATTTTGACAGTTCTTTTTAATGACTCACCTTTTCCAAACTTTTTCAAAGTATCCACTTAGTTTTCCTGGGAATTCTTTTTTGTCCCCATAGTTCACTAATTTTCATAATTTTTAAATTAACTTACATAATTTAAAATACTAAATACAACTGGCATAAACAGACTTGTGAAGAAACAGAGCTGAGTTTTGGTGAATCGGGTGGGGCGGAGGGAGCAGCACACTGGCATACGGGGATGCGCTGACTCTTGGTGCGCAGCCAGTTTACAGAGGGAACGGGGCAGGCGGCCCCACCACACTGGTCAAGAGGAAGCTAGTTGGAAATGCTTTATTTTTAAAACCAGCGTGCTTTGTTTGTATGTGTATATATGTATATGAACATATATATGTACATGTGCAATATTCTTTTATTTATATATTGCTAAGGGTTTTTATTGTCCTTTTTATAGTCTGGAGTGGATTTTAAATTTTATCAAATGTCTTTTTGGCATCTATTAAGAAGATTCTGGTTTCTCTTTTGACCTATTAATAATGTACACTGCATTAAAAAGAAATATCCTTATATTCCTGGAATAAATCTCACCTGGTCATGGTGTACTTTTTTTCCTTTTTTTGAGACAGAGTCTCTGTTGCCTGTGCTAGAGTGTCGTGGCATTAGCCTAGCTCACAGCAACCTCAGACTCCTGGGCTCATGCAGTCCTTCTGCCTCAGCCTCCCGAGTAGCTGGGACTACAGGCATGCACCACCATGCCTGGCTAATTTTTTCTATATATTTTTAGTTGGCCAATTAATTTCTTTCTTTTTTTTTGTAGAGATGGGGTCTCACTCTTGCTCAGGTTGAGTTCGAACTCCTGACCTTGAGCGATCCTCCCACCTTGGCTTTCCAGAGTGCTAGGTTTACGTGAGCCACCGCACCCAGCCAGTGTACTCTGTTTTAATGGTTTCCCTTTACCAATATTTTACTTATTCATAAGTAAAATTCCATGATGTTTTGGGGCCTTTATATCAATATAGCATAAATGTGGGTATTTAGGGGGGAAAAAAGGGCTACTTCTACCTAACATGATGATCCTGCCATTAAAAAAAAATCATTTCCAAAGTTGGTTGAGTCTAACACTTTGATATTTTTAATAGTTATTAGGAAAATCAGTATTAGGTTTTCAGGGGTTGCCAACTAAAAGCAAGGAATCTTATTCCAAAGACCTCATGGAGGTAGCAAGTAGCAAAGGAAGAGGTCAAGTGTCATTTTACGTGCACATCCCTTCTGCTTCCATAAATTTCATAGCAATTGCTTTTAGAAAGAATGCTGACTTGATGAATACATGAAAGAGAAGGTTAAAACAAGAATAGATCAACAATTAATAAAAGTCACCCCCAATATAAGTTTTAATAGTTACCCCAATAACTACTTTTTGAGTAGTAAGATTAAAAAATAAGCCGTGTATAAAAAGTAGAAAAGTATGAGTTTTTAAATGAATAAGAAACATTTTTAAAGAATCTCTTAAAACATTGAAATATCTTATTCAAGTATATCTGCTATTTATCACTTACAAAAAGGAGAGTCTCTGTTTTTCTCTTAAACTACATCTAAATTCATTAAACTGGCAGCCTTGTTTCTTTAATGCTTCACTAGGTTTTGTTTGTTGTTTTAATGGCTTGAATATAACACTTTTTATAGACTATCGATTTCTAGCTCCAAATGAAAACAGTAAATGTGAAGGTTTTATTTTTGTTGTGGCTGATGAACTATAAAAGAGAAGAAGGGAATGCTGACAAAGACTGGGGTATTCCTTTCAGCCCTCACACTTGGCTTTCTTGCAAGCTGGAAGAGAATCATCATCCCCTTCTGATGGCCGAGGTTTCTTCACTGTAGAAATGATTCCAAAAGCAGTTTTTCTAGTTTCTGTAAAAGAAGCAGGAAAACTATAGTGCTTGAAGTTAAGACATAATTTAAAATTAGGTGGTTTAACAAGCATCACCATATTACTTTGGCTTACAGCACTAGTAAGTGATAAATCATAATGAACTGCTATGGGTGCTGGTGCCATTAACATGTCGTTATTTTGTTTCCCAACATATACATATATCAGGATATTATTAACATCTAATTCATTCCTAAAGATTATCTCAAGGGTAAAGCTGCAGGGCAGTGTTATCTCTTAATGGTCTGTTCATGGCACCTTATGCAGTCAGAGCCCAAATCATAGACATCAGTGTAGCAAATGCTTTATGCATAGTAGAAAAACAAATCAAAAGAGCAAAGACAACAGTGAGTTGTATTGTTCCCATGGTGGAGTGTGTGCTTACTTCATTTTACAGCACATATTCTATCTCTCTCACTAGATCATCAATGTACCTTTGAAGAATCCATTATATTGCATTGTGGACACCCAGCAATGGCCTGGTTATATAACAGGTGTTCAATAAATACTTGCTGAGTGAATGAATAAAATCAAACTCATAAATATATCAATGCCTTATATTACTGATGATAATTAACAAAGAAAAATGGTGATTATTAGATGCTTAGATCATATTGGCAGCAGAGGTCAACTTAAATTTAGCCAACTTCTGCTAAAAAACCTACGAATAGGCCAGCCACTGTGCCATTTATATAGAGAGTATAAAGATGCCTTATATGCAGGTAATAGTTTCTGATCGAAAAAAAAAAAAGATGCCTATAGACAGTGCTTTTTCCCACAGTTCATGCATGGGATAAGCACATTAAGAGCAAATATAATAGGAATGTAGTCAGCCATAAGAATTAACCACCTGGATGAATCAATTAGGTATCATAAAAAGTTACCACAACTAGGAATAGGAAAAAAGGAAAAAAAGGAGAAGAAAGTATTCCTTTGAAAGGTAAGAAGAAACGAGGGAAGAGTATTTAGGGTATGGTATGACTGGTGTGAAAGAGTATGGAAAAATTGGGGGTAAATGAGGCTGGAAGAGTAGCTTATGAAAGACCATAGAGTCATGAAAGAGATTCAAACTTTGTCCTTAGGAAATGGAAAGAGATTATGGAGAAGGATCAAGATCCTCATTAACTACAAAGGAGGTAGAATCAAAAGAACCTGATGAACAGAAATTTAGTTAAGAATTATTTCTTATTTCAAGTAATAAAAGTAAAGTCAACTCTAAAGTGTTAAGCATTAACTTCCCATTTATCAGGATTTATTTACCAAGCCTACTAAATCTCTGCCAGTTATTTTAAAACACTGTAATTTATAAAAGGGATAAAACTGTTCTCGAGGTCATTCAAATGCCAACATAATGAAAGAACCTCAAAATAGAAATTGTCCATGATTTCCATTTCACTAAATGAAAAATTCTGCATTTATATCATTATGTTTCTGAGTAATAGTCTAAAACTCAGTTATTGAATAAAAATATAAAAATTGTGAAAACCAGAACTTTGTAATAAACCAAAATGTATTAGTTCCAAAATTATTTTAGTTCCATCTCAGAAATGTTCTATCTTTATCAATGAATATTTACTCCTTAATCTAAAATGACAGATTATAAACAACTGAAGGAGACTTTCATTATTACTTAAAGTAACTTTCAGTATCTTTTAAAAATAAACTCATTTTATATATATACAAAAAATTAGCCAGGCATGGTGGTGCATGCCTGCAGTCCCGCCTACTCAGGAGGCTGAGGCAGCAGGATTGCTTGAGCCCAGGAGATTGAGGTTGCTATGAGCCAGGCTGATGCCATGGTACTCACTCTAGCCTGGGCAACAAAGTGAGACTCTGTCTCAAAAATAAATGAATAAAATAAAAAATAACAATAAAAATAAATTCATTTTTTATAACAGCAAACAGATTTGTATAGGGCTTTACTTTATAAAGTGTTTTCATATATAATATTTCCTTTAATCATCTTGCCAAGGAAAATCTACAACTAGCTCTAAAGGAATTATCAGCAAGTGAACTATTTATTGTTCACAAAGAGTTAAAGCAGGCATCCCTAACAAGTCTATTTTGGTCCAGTGGTTGATGAAGGACACTGACCTTGTCAATCATAGGGCAAAGCCTCTGACCTTGAACCTCTTTCCTCTGTCATTTCCCCATAACCTCCTATGGATGGATTACTACTAGTCACTGGTTTGTAGAACCCCACAAAACCTAATTCTGATTCCCAGTGGCAAGCTTTCCAATAATGAAAGCCAGCTACTATGTGTCACACTGATCTCAATACCAACTAAAACCAGGGTAACTGTAATTTGTCATCTAGATTGGGATAGTTTTCAGAAAACAGAAGTGTCAATAATTTTATAGGAATAGCAGGTATAAACTAGGACTGTACTGGGCACATTGGGGTGAATGGTAATGCCATCTAAAGTCCACAGCCTTCTTTCATTAATAGTTTAGTGTCTATAAAAGCCTGACTTTATCATATGTTGAATAGTTGAGTTTTTTGAAGTCAAACGCAAAACTTCATGCTAATACAGTAAACAGTTCTCTCAAGTGGAAATCAGATCATTAAAATCCAGACACAACACATGAGCCCTCAGTAACCTAGCTATTCCTATGATAAATAACTTAGTCTATATGTAGCAACTTATTCTGAAGTTTAAAATTTATCTGGATGACATCAACTAAACTATTTCTTAAATACAACCAGTCCTAAAAACTACAAAGAGAATGAAGACAAAATAGCAAATAGCAGATCAAAACTTTAAGATTTTTGTTTTAATAAAACTAAATTTGCATTTTCCAAAGTTTTAGCATACTTCTAGTTGAGCTTTTATCATCTGATGAATAAAAAATTCAGTGAGTTCCAGCAGTGGAACTAAAGTGAAGATGTATCTATACAAAATGTAGGTAAACAATGTACAGTCTGTACATACTTGACTATGTAAACAAAAATGAGAAAAGAAACATTCAGAGTTGTAATAAATGCAAAAGTTAGTCAAGCTTTGTTGGGTTTTAAAAAATGCTGTGTTTGGACTGGCTCTAGAGTGGACAAAGTATCAATTTCTAAAAATGTTGTTTTTGTTTTCCTAATAATGATTTAACATATATTTTTGACGTATCAGTTCTCTAAAACAGAGATTTTCAACAGGGAAAGCATGCCCCTCTGGAAAGAAGGAGGAGTAAGGGAAATTAGAAGTGCCTACAAAATGTAATCAGGGAGCCTGGTGTGGTGGCACATGCTTGGAAGGTTGAGGTAGGAGAATCACTTGCATCCAAGAGTTTGATGCTACACTCCAGCCCAGGTGACAGAGCGAGACCCTGTCATTCATTCATTCATAAATAGATAAATAATAAAAGAAAAGATGTGGGCAGGGGCACAAATGTATAGTTTGAAAGAACTCATTCAATACTCATTTCTGTAATGCAGAAACTGTATTCATTCCACAAACTACAGAAAGGAAAGTCTAGAGTGAGGGTAAGAAAGCACCGATGGCTATGGTTAGAAGATTGAGAAAAGATGATTCCAAAGGAACTCTGCAGGATAGGATAGCAAAAATAGATATTGCTCAATTATTTGATAAAAATGACTTGCTTCTAATATGACCATTCAGTTTTTATTGGAAGAACTTGCTCACCTCCATGGAGAAGTGCTGCTCTGCAGTTGGTGGACACCGCAGCCTTGGCATCACTTTCAGACAGCCCAAACAGCAACCCTCTGGTGGGACCATTAAAGATTTCAACCCAGAATCAGCCAAGGACAAGAGACGAACACAAACATAACTGAAAATGCCAGCTAACCTGGTCTTGTTGAAAGACTAATTAATTCCATAGCAGTTCTTAGCCAAACTGGAATGTGCATCTGAGAAGAGACTCATTTAACTATAAACTTTTATCATATAAAGTCCCTCGTTCCCCCTTTTCTATCTCATGATTAATCCAAAAAAGAGGGATAAAGCTGTCTACAACCTGATGTAAATTGTTTTTGAAGTTATTAATTGGTAAACTTTTACCTTACAGTAAAAGGTTGAGAAAAATATCATGTGAAACTATACTGCTACTTCCTTCAAATTCCAAATTTCCTAAAAGAAAATTTCAACAACTTCTTACTCAGAAAAGGATACAAGTTTGCCACATCGTATGGTCCCCTTATTTCTAAAGACTAAAATAAACAAAAAATACATATGAGAAAAGGTACTCATAACATTTCAATGACTTAATGACTTTAAGGGTTAGGGCTTGTAGATTAATAAGATATTTAAGTATCCCAAAATAAGAAAGTTACCTATATAAATTTAAGTCCTTATAATTTTGATGAGTTTCATAAGTTTTTGAAAATATAAAATAACATTGAAAAGCATTTTGTAACAGTATAAAGGAAAAACTATTTATATGCAAAAATTTGAAGCCTAAAGAGAATGGAGAAAATTTTATACCTCACCAATTACAAAGAGCAAATCAATAAAGTAGAAAACATGCTGTAAACATTCATTACATTACTATTTTAATTTCTCCCCTAGAAACTCTGCAAAGTTTTCTAACTTGAAAGGTGAAAACAAAGTATTTCATGTTAGACTTACCCTTTCTGCAGCACTAGATATAATTACATTCTACAAAATAGAAAGTGATCAATATTAATCTTAGATAAATGTAAAAAAAAGCAATTGAAGAATCTCATAATACAAATAACCAGTAATCACATTTTAACATTTAAGGCTCAAATACCAACTTGTTTTATAGATAAGGTAAATAATTAAAGTGAAAAAATGAAATATCTCACATCAAACTAAGGCAGCTTATAAAAAGAAAGAGAATAAGCTTTCTAAACAAATCTTAGTGAAGAGGAATTAAGTTAAGAATTAGACTAAATGATCATATAACCTTAATTCAACTCACTGAGGACAAACATTTGTGATCCAGACTATTCTTTTCACAGTATGTAAATTGCAAAGTCCTTATCAAAAGATATAGGCTTTCAATACATCTTTTTCTCCCTTATACTATTTTCCCCTTGATATTTTTCCTTCCCTTAAAACTCGCAGAGCTCATTGAAATGGAAGAATTTGCTTCTGTGCCTTGAGAACTTTCTACTTTAAGGAAAAGAAATAAGTTTGACAATTCTAGTATATTAATAATAAACTGCCAGATATGAAAAATATCATAAAATTATAGAACTGTACCTTTCCTTTGCAGACCTGCATCAAATTGAGAGCATTGGAAATTGTGTACCTTCTCATTGTGGAGTCTTTGATAGCAGGGCTATAGACAAGTTCAAAGCCCAGGCCTCGGTCAATTGCCTTCACAGGAAATAAAGAAAATAAACTGTCAAAGATAAACACACACTGTCCTACTTAATTCTCACTGAAGTCCTCCCTCACCCCCTACTACCTACCTCCTACATGTCAAGGTACAGCTTTAAATAAAGACAGATCCACACACAAATAGCACTATCCACAAGGAGAAGAAAACATATCTGTGGCTCTATTTGATCAACCGAGTTTATCTTAGCTATGGGAAGCCTGACTTTATATAAACAGGAATTATCAAGAGGCTAAGGAGAGTGAAGTCCCAGTGTGGTGCCAGAATAGCTATTATTCTATGAACTATCAAAAGGAAAACAAAGATATATTCCCTACACTTAGGATAAACTGTATGCAAATCCAGTAAACCAAGTAATTTGACTCAAGAATGAACAAAGAGACAAGATACATAAAGCTGGACAAAGTCCAAAAAATGGGCATAAGAAGGCTTCTCAGGTAAGTCATTATTATACATAGATGTTGAATGAGAGAATAACAATAGCCATGGTTAACTGAGTGTTGACTGCATGCCAGGCACTGTGCTAAGAGTCTTATGTATATGTTTAGCCCTTATAATACCTTTATATGAGGCACTGCAGCAGGCTGTTAATTGTCCAGGAATGGTTTCTGGTTTCTCTCCTTTTTCCTTAGTGACGTAGCCCCTGATTTTTGGCTGGACTTATGTTTATCCAGCACAAAAGATAGAAGAAGCTTGGGCCCTTGATGATTCTGTTCAGCTCACTGTACAAGCTTGGCCTTTTTCATGAGAAAAAGAAACTTCATTCTTACTTAATGTACTCTTATTACATAGAGATCCATAGGTAAAAAAGCCTGGAAGAAGTGGAAATGGAATTGAAATCGACCACCACACTATTCAGCTTCCCTGATGAGTGCCTCAATAGCTTCTTCCCTTCATAATGGACATGTTTAAAGCTCACTGTGTGCAAAGGCTGAGATGGTTCCTCCTTTCTAAGAGCTTACAGGTTAGTGGGGGAGACCATCAAATAACCACACAAAAATATAAAACTTCAACTGTGGTAAGTGCTTTTAAGGAGAAGTTCGGGAGTGAGGGAGGAAGAAATTAAGCAGTTAAATAGTATGGAAGGTGCACTTTCAGAGAGAAGGAAGAGCATATGAAAGGCTCTGGGGTTGGAACATGGAAGCATGTAGAGAAGGTCCAAGGCTGGAGAAGAACAAACAAAGCAGAGCCCTAAGGTGGGAGATGAGGCCCAAGAGGATGAGAAGGGCCAGCTGTGCAGAGCCGGTAACAGCAAGGGGAAACATCTGGAGGATGTTAACTTGGTGGTGATAAGCAGACTTGCAAGTGCAAAAACCAACTGGTTGCAGTAGGCTTTTGAATGAATAAAAGGATGACAGGCACAGTCCAGGCAGTATGGTGCAAGTCTCTGCCTGGCAAATGAGTTTCTGTTACACAGAGGATGAGCTGGGACTGGTCCAACTGGGACTGCTGGGGTTTACTCCTGAGCAGTTTACAGGGAATGGAGAAACTTGTCTTCTTCTAGAACCGGCAGTCCACCTTGATTTAATTCAGGTGTACCTCAAAGGTCCCTCTACCTTCCCTTCCTGAACACAGATTTCCTTTCTTCCAACCCCCAAACATCCCTTTCCTTTTCCTCTGGCCTTAAGGCTCCCAGATTTTATTTTAGATTTTCCTATATATCTGATTCTAGTTTAGTTGGAATTTAAATGCTATTTTCCCCTTGCAACCTTCCTCCTCTCCCATATTTTGACAACCTTTCCCCACCTCTAATTCTTTATCGTGTGTTGATTATTTCTGGAAACGACATTTGTTATGATACTCTTTCTGCCATAGTTAAATGTATACCTCATTTTCTTTAGTTAGTTCATATACTTCTTGAGAGCTGGTATCATGACACCTTCTAACACAAAACTGCCTTTTACACAAAAAGTGTGTAATATATTTACATTTTGAGTGAATAAATAATAGCTCGGGGAAAAGAGGTCATGTGATAATGATGTTCACTATGGATTATCTATCATAGAAGGAAACACAATAGACTTGGCTAACTGAAATTCATAGATAAATGAAAACATCTCCTTGGCTATTTCTTTTACAAAAACTACTATAATTAACTGAAGAGGCTGACTTACAAGTTATAGAACCACAACACAAGGCAGTACAATGAAGAAGAGGAGGAATAAAAGATGTGAATGATATATAGGGTTTGATGACCAGATCCCAAAACATTTCTAATTGACTGAATCTAAACTTCTAAAACCTTTTGGGGACCAGATCAAAATAAAAACTCCTTTTGGTGGAGTGGGGGTGGGGGGAAGAAGGGGGAAAAAGGACATAATTATCAGCTTAACTATTTTTTAAGAAAAAATTTCTGATTTTGATCTTGGTACATTAATCAAGCTCCCTTTAAAACTAAGAGAATTCTAGAAAAAGAAAAATTATAAAGATAATGTGCTACTACTGGAAGTTATGGTGAATATTTCTTTCATAACATCTTATTTTTAAATTTTTAGAGATAAAATAGACACTCATTACTTGGGCTCCTGCTTCTAAGACCATTTTAATGCAAACTGCCTTACACTTAGCAAATGATTGTTCATAAAAGCCTCTTCATAATAGTGCCTGCCTGATTGGCTTTTGTTCACATGTCTGACCAAAGGTTCTGGCATGGGTGGATAGAGCAGATTTCTTTACTAATGAGAAATAACAGTCAAAAGGATGCTACCAAGGGCAGGTGTGTGATACTTGAATCCAGAGATACTGGCAATAAAATTCCAAGTACTAAGCAAAGCTAGAGAAGGAAGAGAATGGGGAATTGATTACTGGGACAATGTAGTCATTCCCCATTAATTTCATAAAAATTAGCTCTTTATTGGATTCAAATGGGTGACACCCTTTTGATGTATCATTATTTATGATAGGTAATTTATTCACAAGATTCATAAATCAAAGCAACATAAGGAAACAATAAAAAGTCTTACTTGTATCTCTGATCCCATCTGCCCCACCTCTCCTCCCATAGTAACTTTTATTAATTTCCTGTGTCTTCTTCCAGAATTTCTTCATACAAATATAAGCAAATATGAATATATATTATTTCTCCTCTTTCTTACCCAAAAGGTAGTCTGCTACAATCTTGTCCTGACTTGAAAGCTTTTCCATGTCAGCTCATAACTTTCTCGTTCCGTTTTATAGCTGCATAGCATTATGCTGTAGAGCAGGCGTCCTGAAACTACGGCCCGTGGGCCACATGCAGGTGTTTTTGCCCATTTGTTTTTTTTTTACTTCAAAATAAGATATGTGCAGTATTTAGGAATTTATTCATAGGTTTTTTTAAACTATAGTCCAGCCCTCCAATGGTCTGAGGGACAGTGAACTGGCCCACTGTTTAAAAAGTTTGAGGACCCCTGCTGTAGAGGTACAGCATATATTTAACCAAACCTCTACTGATTGACTTTGGGTTGTTTCAATGTATCTGTAGAATCAACACTAAAGTGGGATTGCTGGGCATTATGGGTTGAATTGTGACCCTAACCATAAAATATATGTTAGAGTCCTAACCCTCAGTACCTTAAAAGACAACCATATTTGGAAATAGGGTCACTGCAGATGTAATTAGTTAAGATGAGGCCATACTAAAATAAGGTAGGCCCCTAATTCAGTATGACTGATACCCTTATAAGATGGCCACGTGAAAACACAGAGACACACAAGGAGAATGCACTGCGAAGGCAAAGGCAGAGATTGGAGTTATTTAGCTGCAAATCAAGGATTACCAAAGATTGCTGGAAAATCACCAAAAACTAAAAAAAAATGGTAAAGGATTCCACTATAGGTTTTAGAGGAACGTGACCATGCTGAAACCTTGATTTCAGACTTTTGGCCTCCAGAATTGTGAAGCAACACATTTCTGTTGTGTTAAGCCAGTAAATGTATTTGTAATTTTAATACTTGTTGCCAAATTACCCCCCCATAGGGATTGTTCCAATTTATCAGCAAAGTATTAATATGGGAATACCTGCTTTCCCACAGCCTTACTACAGAGTGTATCACTAATTACATAGGTTATTTCGATGTGAATTTCTCTTATTATTGTGAATTCAAGCATCTTTTCATATGTTTAAGGACTCCGTATTTTCCTTCTTGTATAATGTCTTTCATATTCTTAATTCATTTTTTTTATTGTTCATCTGTTTTTTTTAACTTACCAATTTCTAGGAGCTCTTTATATATTACAGGGATTAGCCTTTTTGTCTATGACATCAGTGAATATATTTCCACCAGCTTGTCATTTATCTTTTAACTTTATTTCTGGTGGTTTTTTCTTTTTTCATTTTGGTGGCTACACAGAAAATTTTGATACTGGCAAGTTTGGCGGTACTGATGCAAGCACTGAATCGACAAGTACTTAATACATTTAGGTTCGAGTGTGATGAAAAATAAAGTTTCTAGAGCACTCACACCCAAATCAAGTATACATAGCATGACTCCTAGAACTACCTCACTGCTTTAGACATTATTTACTAGACATCTTTCAGTGGGCACAAACAGGACCACAAAGATCAGGGTTAAAGAAGATGCTGAAGGGAAAACCTCAGAAGAGTGTGAAACATACATGGCCTGAAAATAACTCAATAAACCTGAAGTCATTATTGAATGGAAATAATATTGAAATGGAAACAAACAAACAAAAATTAAAGGGAAGGTAAAGATATGTGCTGTTTTAAGAAAATCTTCTTCTCAAAACTTGAATTCATAAAGCTCATGTTTTATAATATGAAATTATTCTGTGCTCAACAAAGAGTTCTGCTATAAAGTAACTTTAAATAGCATTTCCCAGAAGGAAATGGCAGTAGATTTGGAATGAAAGCTTGAGTACAAATCCCTAATCAAGCCTTTGAGAGAGACATTTAACTGTGTGAGCCACAAACTACCTAAGACTCAATTCTATTACCTACATATGGAGATAATTAACATCTACTCCACCCCAAAGCTGGTGGGCCACAGCAGGTGTGAAAGTGCTTAAACTATAAAATGCTAAATAATTAGAAGTCATTTGATTATCCAAGAAGAGGAATGGAATTCAATTCTTTAGGAATGCATCTGTCACAAAATGGAGTTGTGATTACCATACAAGATACTTAAGACTCCAAAAGAGGTTTATAGGAGATTTTAGAGGAAATTGCATAATTGAAATTATGGTGCCTTAAGCATGTGGTGAAGGGTAACAAAAGGGATGAGAGCTGTAAGTCATAGAAATGGAGTGTTTTGGTATGCTCAGAGCCCTCTTTCATAATCCCAAATTTCTGAGCTGATAATTCTCACATGGCTTCTGACCTACAGGTAAAAGACTAACTACCTAATACTCCTGCTTTAACACAACAAAAAAAGAGGCCTGGCTGGGCGTGGTGGCTCACGCCTGTAATCCTAGCACTCTGGTAGATGAGGTGGGTGGATTGCTCGAAGTCAGGAGTTCGAAACCAGCCTGAGCAAGAGTGAGACCCCCATCTCTACTATAAATAGAAAGAAATTAATTGGCCAACTAATATATATAGAAAAAATTAGCCGGGCATGGTGGCGCATGCCTGTAGTCCCAGCTACTCGGGAGGCTGAGGCAGCAGGATTGCTTGAGCCCAGGAGTTTGAGGTTGCTGTGAGCTAGGCTGACGCCACGGCACTCACTCTAGCCTGGGCAACAAAGTGAGACTCTGTCTCAAAAAAAAAAAAAGAGGCCCAAACACTAACCAAATTAAGATCTATGCTGTTTTCTCATGTGCCCGATAAAGCGATCCCTATAAAGCAAACCTTGGACTTCTGAAGGCCAAAGACAAGTTTATGCTCAAAGCCAAGGGAGCATGCAAGGACCAAGACTTAAGACGGAACTGTTACCTATGCTCACTTCATGTGTTGTGCTTTCACAGCGAATATTTTTCCATACTTTAATGCAGACACATAGCTCCATATCCAGATTAGATATCATGTTACAAATAATACATACATACCTATACAACAACTATTGCTTACCATGGAAGACAAGCTAGATACCTCTATGTTTCCAGCGTTCTCTCAGTAAAAAATAGGTAAATAAATTAATAGGACATTTTCTGCTTCCTGACCAATTTATCTGCAACCTACTTCTATACTAGATGAAGACTAAAAATAATCTGTGCAGCCTTTCTTCCATTCCATCATCCAGTTTTTATTAAACAACATATGTAAAGTGTTCACACCAGATTTTTTTCTAAAAGCAGACACTGTGTTAAGCTGCATATCCCTCTCACTTGTCAAATTTTTACTTTTCAGAATTCTTAAACTGGAAAATGGAGGAATTAAGCCAGAAATATCCATGAGACAACAGCAGCTTTCCTGAACTTCCAGATGGAATCAGGGGGTGGGCTGTCCTAGTGCCATTCCTCTCCTAAGGCCGCCCCAGTGCCCCACTTCCCTCACTGCATGTGCTTCCGGCCCAACACTGACATCTAGCTAATGACTAATGACCAGTAGGATTTGGCTGGGCTCCCCAAGCTGTACCTTGACATGCTAAGCTTAACATTTACTCATTCAATTAACAATTTTTTAGGGAGGACTCATAAGCAAGATATTGGGATAATTTACAAAAGGACATGATACAATTGGTGCTCTCTAGAAGTTTATAATCTGGTTTGAACAGTAAGACACGTTCATAAGAAATCCACTTAAAGCCCTCTACAAAACAGCCACTGGGAATCTTACCATTGTCCTGGGATATGAGGAATTATGTGCTGGGCATTGCTGTCCATTCCATGGACTTGGCCTTAGCATCACATGCCACTATCTCCTCCCAACCAAGGACACAGTATCAAATGTGGGCTTATCAGGCAAAGACATCTAGAAAATGGCCTTCCTAGTTCATTAAGATGAAGAAAAAGGTGAAAAAGTTGTAAGTTTAACAGCAATTTGCAGAGTGGCTGCACTGCCTAACTGTGGGAGTTCTACTTAGAACCAGGATTGGCAGTTGGAGCCTGACACAATGCTTAGGCAAGACAGAGATTGCTTCCTCTGGAGAGGAATAATACGAGAGGCCAACAAGAGTGTCATAAACTTGGGTACGTATTAGTCTGTGGCTTTTATCATAGGTACCTAGGGCATGATAGAGATCTTATTTGACAAGCAATCAACCAGAACTTTCCTAACCCTGTGACTAAAGAGCTGAATGACTTCTTGCTAGCCTTCATTTCCCCACATTTGATAAATGAGCTGTTGAACAACATAGATCTCCAACTCTAAAATGTGGTGCTTCAGAGGTTTTTAAAAGTGTTTACTTATCTAAGTACTGGCAACAGCATGTGGAACCAATGATTTGAGTTTAGCCAATATTGTTATATGTTCCGTAGTGCTCTCAATATTTACCAAACAAGAGCTGTTTTATATTTTTTCCTTGAAATATATGACTATATTTTTGGTATTTCTCAAGTATAGTTTTAGTAGCATATTTTTAGGGATAGAACATAAGCCAACTTAAATTTTTCCACATTGGATTAAATTTTTACACACCAATGAAATCCATTTTCTCCTGATTGTTTCCCTCTAATTTTCAGTATCAAGTCAATTCCTTAGTAGCAAAGGGAAACAAAAATTGAGAAAGTTATCTTTCTATAGAGACAAAAGAATAAGGGATCTTAGCACTCTAGGTGGCCGAGGCGGGAGGATCGCTTGAGATCAGGAGTTTGAGACCAACCTGAGCAAGAGCAAGAGCAAGACCCCGACTCTACCAAAAATAGAAAATTAGTCAGGTGTGGTGGCACGTGCCTACAGACCCAGCTACTAGGGAGGCTGAGGCAGGAGAATCGCTTGAGCCCAGGAGTTTGAGGTTGCTGTGAGCTAGGCTGACACTATGGCACTCTAGCTTACGTGACAGAAAAACTCTGCCTCAGGAAAAAAAAAAAAGATAGGGGAATTACTTACTTTGAAAAAATTAAATTAAATTTTCCAACTCTGACAAGATTAACTATATAATTTGGCAAGTGTCTGCTAAACCCTTTTTCTCTTTGGATAATTAAGTTTTTGAGAACAGGAGACTGAGCAGAGTTTTAGAAGCCACTATTCTAAAATAGCATCCTAACTCTTCCTAGGATCTGGCTGGCAAAGTGAATAGTTAGCAGTTGTGCTGACCTCATAGCCACTAAATAGTTACTGGTGTGAAATAATATCACCTTTATGATGGAAATGGAAGGGACTGAGACTTAGAAGGCGGCATGATAGATGTAAGATGAAGAGTAAAGGAAAACAAGAGAAAACTATATAGAAGGGTGATGAGAAAAATTCTATAGCAGAGGGAAAAACAAAAAACTTCCCTGAATGCATGGCCACCCTGTTAGTTAATACAGAAGTAACCCTGATCTTTCGTGTGAATCTGCGTGCTTCAACTAAGATTTTAATTTTGCATAGATCATGCCTAGGTAATTCCATGCCCCCTCCCTATCTCTCTTTACCTTACTGGTGCCTCAGGGACCCTCTGTGTTATTCGGGGTTTTTTCCCCTTTTACCTTCTTTTTTGACTGCTATTTTCCCTTAATGTTCAATATTCAGACTATAAGTACCCATCATTATTAACTACCCTCTTAAGAAATATCCTTCATAAATTTTAGTGTCTAAGTCCTTTCAAAAACATCTTATGCTCCTGTTCCAATTTGCTAATGCACATTTCTACAGATCCAAATGCAACATGAAAAGTGTAATACTTACCACATTAATAGGTGGTCTTTTGAAGTAAAACGGTAGCTTCTCTGTTACAGTTATACAGACTAAATCCACATCTAAATGTGTGCAAGCAACCTGTCAGGAAGAAACAACAGGTAAGGCCAAAAGGAAAACTGGCACAAATAAGAACAGGAGATAAGGTCAAACTTGACATAAAGAAACTTAAATAGGTATATCTCACTCCATAGGTGTTTTGATGGTTCTGTGTTGAAATGCATTTGACCTTTTACAAAGCTAACTATTTAGCCATTTCCTTCAGGTTTAACTATAATCCAGATGAAGCAGAGTGAGATGTAGATAGACCTTCACAAAACACTGGGCCTGGAGACCCTCTAACTCATATGCTCTTCTACATAAGGAAGGGTTGCTGAGTGAGGCTCAGTTTCTGGAACGTTACTTCAGACTGTTCCAGAAAGAAGAAACTGTTTTAAAATCCAAGGAAAAATAAGCCAAAAGGAATGTATACATGGTCCATTTATTTCACAAACTATTTACTGAGCACCTTTGTGCCATGCTTTGTCCTGGGGCTGGGGATCCTATCAGTCTACTAAGTGGGTAAAGAAACGTTAATGGCACTACTGATGGCATTTTGTTCAAATACTAATAGTCTACTTACATGGTTAAAGCAAAGCTGTTACAAATCAAATAATAATGAATGCTTTTTTTCAATTTTTAATTTCCCTTTGTCCTAATTTTTGCTATTATTTGTTGATCAATACTCTGCATTTACTTCTAAAAAAGATGTGAAACTGCTTACAAAAACTACATACAAGATAAAATAAACAGAGAAGAAAATCAGGATAAAGGGAAAATCAGGGAAGAAAAATAAAGCTGGGGAAAGTTTAATAGGGTAGAGCGCAAGCCAGAAGGCACGACCAGAAGATGTGCATCCGACTCTGATTTTGCCATTATTTGATTTATTGTGATGGAAGAATTGGCTGTTATGTATTCCATTAAAAATAAGCCTACTGACAATGCTAGCTTGTACAGGCTTGATGAAAAATTTAAACTGCCAGGATGGCTATGCTGGTGAACCAATATAAGTGGAAAGAACAGAGTAAGGAAGAGAGGTGAAGAGGGAGTAATGATGCCCAACCTTGGGCAATGACAAGATATCACTTTTTCTTCAGAATCCCCACTTCAGCCACTCCTACTACCCCAGGGCTTTCGGAAGCAAGTAGTGCCTGGCTTTATGACCATCATAGTAACTTAGTAAGCCTGGGAAGCAATGTTGTTTTGGCAGAAATACTTGGCTTATAAAGAATCTGCTCCATCCCAACTGCTACAGCTGTCCAACTCACAAAAGAGTCATTGAAACTTTGATAAGAATGGATGAAAAAAAGCTCTGAATAATAGCTAAAACAAGTTTAGCTTTCTGTTCATCATTTTTTAACTAGCAGACTGGCAAAGATCAAAGAGTTCAGTAATATACTGCAGACTTGAGAATGAATAGTCAGGCACTCATAGGGTCTTTAAATCAGTATGGGACCTTGAAAAGCACTTTAGCAATGGCTATCAAAATTTTAAATGTACACACCAGCAATTTCACTTAAAGGAATGTATTCTATAGAGACTCTAGAAATATATATACCCTCAAAGGCTCAAGGGCATTAGTGCAAGGACAGTCACTGCAATACCAGTCACAAAAGACTAGGCACAATTAAACAGTACACAATTTTACTTAAATAAATTATGATCCCTTTATATGATGAAATATGCCAATATCCTTAAAGGGAATGAAGTACATCTCTAATTGATATTATGGAACAATCTCCAAGATATACTATCAGGTGAAAAAAAAGCATGGTGTTAGGTAGGAACGAAAGAGGGAGGGGGAGAGGAGAGAATGAAGGAAAGAAAGGTGAGGTAAATATTTCTGAAAAGATATATAAGAACTCTTAGGAGTGGTTGCCTCTGAAAAAAAGGGAGAGGAAGTTTGAGGTGGGACAAAGACATGCTTTTCAATACATACCCCTTTGTACTGTTTGAACTTATTACATGAGCATAAATTATTTTTTCAATAAAAAAGTTAATTTTTTAAAAGTCTGTTAAGTATTCTCCCCCGAAAAAAACTAAATTAGATTACTTTTTATTTATCTATTGTTCCTTTCTTCCCCACTCCTATATAAAAGTGGCCAATTAAACAATGGATCTGTGTTGGTTTAAGTATATGCATTATGATAAATTTCTAGATATAAAGGTCAGCTCCACTTGGTCCTCTGACACCACACACTTAAAATGTCCTAAACTGAATTCTTTCGTTATTCAGCTTTCTATTAACCTAAATGTTCAACGGATACATTTAGATAACCATAAAATAAGAGTTAATGTTCACAATATGACTGTCTATATCATTAAAAAAAGATTATGACCAATATAGTTTTGAGGTTAAGAATCTTATAAAGGTTTTCCCTGACAACTGGTACGTTGCCTATGAATTCACATTAGGTGTTCTTTACCACTTTTTGGAGGGGGCTGGAGAACCCTGTGACAACTTAAGGAAAGGATATTCTATAAAAATGCACACATATATACACATTTTTATGGCACAAAGGGAACAGGAGGGTAGGAGTTAACATTCCCCCTAAATTCCTTACAAGGATGTCAGGCTAACATATCTTGGTATTTTATGATAAATTATGCAAGAGAGACAGACACAGGGTTACCAAAGAAAAAGAGTACAGCCTATTAATAATTGCTCTCCACCTTAGTGTGTACAAAACTCCCCTGAAGAATCTACCAAAAATGGAAATAACCAGGCCCCACCTCCAGTGAATCATTCAGTAAGTAGTGCCTAACAATCTGTATTTTAACAAATATCCCAGGTAATTCTGAAGCTCGTGGAGCCAGACAACACTCTGAGAAACACGGGATATGCCCTCCCTCAAGGTAATTAATCCACAATAGTGCTCTTCAAAGGGAAGGCACAAATTTTGGGAGCAGAAAGAAAATAAAACTTCTATTTCCATTTATTTTTAATTCACTCTTAAAAATTGTTTTGTGTGTATATTATTTCATAAAGCACATTGGTATAACGGGACATGCAATAATTTATAAGAAACATACATATATTGGGAAGCAGGCTCAACATTTTTTAAACCGTGTGTACAATCAAAGCAGGCTGGAGACCACTCCACTAAATAACCCAATTTCTCCTCATCCTGCTTAGCTACTGGAAATCCTAAATGGGAATAGCTGACTGAGAAGCTGCTGAGGCTTCTATGTAACTCTCCCACTCATATTCCTATGCAACAGCTGTCCCTGACCCCTCCATCCCAAGGAGCCCTGGCCAGTGTATACCCCTATCACAATCTTTGATCTTTGCCTTATCCCCTGTGGTAGCTATGGAGAGGGAGGGTTTCCTATCTATGATACATCTCCCAGATACTCTGAGGAAAACAGTATGTTATTTCCCGTGGAAATGATGCTATTTAAGATGGTTAAGATTTTATGCTACTAACTATTGATGTATATGAACATGTGTGTTGGTTTCATGACTTATCTTAGAGACCTTGGTTTTAGAATATCATACCTACAGAGATGTGTTAGAATTCTAGATAATCAACTTAAAAACAAAATAAATAAAATCACATATAGAATGTAACCTATTAAGCCACAACTGCTTGCATTTCACCTGATTCCAAATGATGACATACTTACAAAAGCTTTATGATTAAAAGAAAGATGTTTTTTAATTGACTTTCTATAGAAAACAGAGAGAACTCTAACTTCAACTGAATCTTAAAGAATGAGTAATATTTGGACAGAAAAGAGGAAGATGTTCCAATTTTAAAAACTGTTTCCATGTAACTTTTTTAGTATATCTGTATAGTCAATTCCAAACAAATACTTTGTGAATTATTTATAACTTTCATCTATCTTCTAAAATATTTCTGACTATTCCACCCACTAACATCAAGAATGTGTTCAGCAAATTCAAATTCAAATAGTCTGAGAAAAACAATAAGATAAATAAAATTACTATATAAAATTATATTCTGAAACCCCAAAGTCCTACCTTTACAATATACCTTCTAGGAGATTTAGAGCAAACCCTTCAGCACTAGTCTCAGTTTTCCCCTCTATAACACATGGATAGTATTAAATAGTAAGTATCTGTCCCAGTCATCCTACAGGATTGGTGTGAAAGTTAAAGGAAATAAACATGTAAAAGCCAAAATGTTACTTAAGTGTTCTGTTTCTCTAATCACCAGTAAAGGCCTATGGAAACCAGGCAAGGTGGCTCACACCTGTAATCCCAGCACTCTCGGAGGCCAAGGCAAAAAGATCACTTGAGCTTAGGAGTTGGAGACCAGACTGAGCAAGAGTGAGACCCTGTTTCTACAAAAAACAGATAAATTAGCCAGGTATGGTAGCGCACGCCTGTAGTCCCAGCTTCTCAGGAGGCTGAGGCAGGAGGATTGCTTGAGCCCAGAAGTTTGAGGCTGCAGTGAGCTATGATGATGCCACTGCACTCTATCTGGGGTAACAGAGCAAGACTCTTATCTCAAAATAAAAAGAGCTATGGAAATATAAGTTGTATGACCTTCAAAATTAATCTATAAATCAAATGTACAACAAAAAACTTGGTACATCACCAACTTTTAGTCTACATCATGACTGAGTTGCTATTTATTTAATAACAAATTTGGAAATGCCCATGGCCCTCCTTATAGCATATACCAATGGTTTCGGCACTGAATCAGACTTTCCTGTGGAACTTGAACAAACACAGAATCAACCCTAACCCTACTGGATTAGAATTTCTAGTGGTGAAGGCTGAATGTGCCCAATTTTAAAAAGTTCTACAGGAATCTTTGATGACTAAGAACCACTTGCTTCTACTCACCCCTTTAACTAAAACAAAATTCTTGAGAATTACTATAATTGAGCATTTTTTTTTTTTTTTTGAGACAGAGTCTCGCTTTGTTACCCAGGCTAGAGTGAGTGCCGTGGCGTCAGCCTAGCTCACAGCAACCTCAAACTCCTGGGCTCAAGCGATCCTCCTCCTGCCTCAGCCTCCCAAGTAGCTGGGACTACAGGCATGCGCCACCATGCCCGGCTAATTTTTTATATATATATCAGTTGGCCAATTAATTTCTTTCTATTTATAGTAGAGACGGGGTCTCGCTCTTGCTCAGGCTGGTTTTGAACTCCTGACCTTGAGCAATCCACCCGCCTCGGCCTCCCAAGAGCTAGGATTACAGGCGTGAGCCACAGCGCCCGGCCTAATTGAGCATTTTTAAAGGAGGTAAACAAAAAAGGGGTAGGCATCTATAGATAATTTGCGCTGCTTCCCTCTATTATTATAAATAATCAAGAATTAATAGTATGTCTTGAAAACTAAATTTACCACACATCAGCTTCCTTAGTCACTGGCTCCATCTAATGGATGAACTTAGGAAAAATGTGTCTACTATTTTGAACAGATTTTGCTTAAAAAAGACCTGATATAAAATTAAAACATCAAAGACCAGTATTTCTTTTTCTGCAACATCCTTTGGCAGATTTACTTTTGGCAGATGGAGGCTTTTTTTTAATCTAGATAAAGACAACTTTCAGAACTTTCTAAAAATAGCTACACAGTAAAATGTATTAGTTCATTCTTTCTTTTTTTACTGTAATCATTTAAAATGCCCAGGGTGTTCAGTCTCAAGTTGACAAAATAAGCACACATGTTAAGCTCTTTTCCCTCCTGCAAAAGCATTGAAATGACAATTTTCAGAAGTACAAAAAGAATTCAATTCATAAAGGCCCTGAGAACAGGAAAAGAGATCGTATCAGCAGGTGGTTGATTTTCTGGAAGGCTGGAAGAATTTCTGGAAGGCAGAGATAATCATGCTGGCATATGGGTTACATTTTTGAACATACAAAGGAGGAAGTAGAAACGGGAGGAAATTTTTATGATACAGTAGAATCTTACCCCTTTCTTTCCACATAGGCAGCAATGAATAGTAAGAAGGGCAGAAACTAAAGTGATTTTAGAGCTATTAATAGAAAGAGATGGACCATCATTTACCTAAGGGAAGTTTTGAATGAATGAAACAGAGATAAAGAAACAAGAAAACTGGGCCGGGTGCAATGGCTCATGCTTGCAATCCTAGCACTTTGGGAGGCTGAGGGAGGAAGATTGCTTGAGCGCAGGAGTTTGAGGTTGCAGTGAGCTATGATGATGCCACTGTGGTCTAGCCTCAGCAAAAGAGGTAGACCATGTCTTTAAAAATAAGTAAAGAAACAAAAAAACTCAATGGGCTCTTTCAAACTGAGCCCATCAAGTGTCTAGCAAGACAAATAAAACAAAACAAAAACAAGCCAGTTAAACCCCTGTGAAATTCTAGGCCTCTAAGTGTAAATGAAAAATCCTTAAAGTTTCCAGTTGAAGCTAAACAGGTCACCTACAAAAGTGTAACATCAGACTTATGTAAAATCATAAACACAATTTTCTTTTGCTTATCTGTTACTCACATGAAAAAGTTTTTCTGTCTTTGGAAACACTGCAACAATATCATAGAGCCGGACCCTTGAAGAAGTTGCTCTCTAGGAATGTGAAAAGAATTTATTATTCAGTAACAAAAAATATAAACATGAAATTCTGCTTACTGATCTAACTGCACTTATATTTCAATCATGTAACATTTTTAATATGCCTCTGACATTTCTGCTTTGCTTTGTATGTTGGCAGAAAAGACCGTTAAGCACATGAGAATTTAGATATTATATGAACAACCATCACACTAATCATGCTCCTCCAATCCTTCCTACATTTATTTGTTTTAACCAAATACCATACATTGTGTTTGAGATATAAAAATCAAACTAGATAGCCCTTGATCTTACAAACTAGTGAAGGAGCTTGCTGGGCAGTGGGGACACAAAATCATTAAGGCATATGTCTTTCCTCAATGGAATTTTTTTTTCAGACAAAATATATACATGGCAAAGTGTAATGCGCATAGAGCATATATGTACATAGAGCAAATATACATGATTAAATGTGATACAATTAAGTGCACAATAAGAATACTGTTAAATACAAATTAAAATGCTAGATATGCAAGAAAATACCTGAGAGTCCCAGGATAGCAGAGAAATATCTTGGTTAAAGAGTTGTTTATAAAAGAAAATCTCAAACCTAGATTGTATGAGTTTGTATGTGAAAAGACTAGAAAAACATATATTCAAATGTACAATCTCTGAATGATGGGATGTGTGATATTTCTTCTTTGCTAGTTGGCACCATATAAATTTTTACAATCTGGCTATTTTGTAAAAAGAAAAGATATAATAAAAGTTAGAGGAGAGTGTAAGAAGAGCAGCAGGTGCTATGTTTAAGCAAGTAAGAGGGCCTACTAGGCAGCCCTGTGCTGAGACAGGGCAAGTTCCTGGTCTTAGGAAAAGCTAGGATCCAGGATTCTCTCTCCTCCACCTGCCTGCTCTCATTTGGGAAGAAGACAAAAAGGGACTACCACTATGTTCATGATAACAAGAGTAAATTAAAGTCTTTACAATTTATCAAAAGACAGCTCTATTTATGTTTACCCAGACCTAGAGAACTGAATGTTGCCTTGGAGTTATACAAAAATACCAAAATTTGCCTTTCACAATTTCTTCAGCAATGCTATTATAAAGAGAGGCAGCCTTTCCTTGATTAGTCCTGTTCTATGATAGAATGTCCACTGTAGCTAAAGATAAAACCATTCACCTTCTCAGGGATCTCACTTTCTGTCTCCCCAGCTGTATCTTTCCTGTCAGCAGGCATACTCACGCCTTCCTCATTCGTCAAACAGAATCTCCTTATACAGCAGATTCTCATCCATCAAGCACTCTATGTTTTCCATTCTCCTATGGAGTCAAATTTCTCAAGCAGAGTCAGCAGCACAAACTGTCTGCATTTTCTCACAACCCTATCCATTAAAATGGATTTTGCTAAGGCAGACAATGACTTCCCTGTCAATAAATCCAAAAGACATTTTTTTTAGCCCTTGTCTTGCTTGACTATTCAGGCATTTTGATGCTGCTGACATTCCCTTCCTCCTCTTCTGTTTCCACTATCCTCATTGTCTTCCTACTTCTAGGGTAGTCCCTCCTCAGTCTCCAAGCCTAGTTCATCCTCTCCTTCACCATTAAACAGTGAAATTCCTCAGGACTCTGTTCTAGACCTCTTTCCACACCACACTTCAACTAGGGCATCTCATTCATTCCCATGATCTCAATTACTCTCTACAGGTGACCACTTTCAAAGTAACTGGGATCACTCTTCTGAGGGCCACACCTTTTTTCCAATTGCCTATTTGATAGGCTCCACTGGAACTCTCACAATAACTCATGTCTTAAACATGATGCCCCCAAAACTGCTTCTCTTTGTTATGACCCACCTCAAGAAATGGTAATATCTACCTACCTGGCTGCTCAGGCCATCATCCTGTAGCCAATCAATGAACAAATCCCATCAATACTCCCTCCTGAATGTTTTTCAAATCCCCTCCTTAACTCCAAGCTCATAATTTCACTCCCTTGGTTAAAACCTCGAAGGGGTTCCCCCTTGCTCTTGGAATCCTCACCCAGGCCTACCTCCCTAACTTCATCCCAGGCAGCCAGCTCACTAGGCTTAGCTCTACTAGTCTTGTTTCACTTCCCAGAACATACTAGGTTTTCCTTGGCCTCAGGACCTTTGCATAATTCATCCTATCTATGGGAACAGTCTCCTTCTTGTCACCTACATAACATTTATTGATTCTTATGTCACCCAGCTTGAACATTAACTTACTCAGGTTACACTCCCAGAGCATCCTTTATTTACCACCTCTTCCCTTTTAAATATTCCTCACATTTGTAATTATTATTTGTTCAGTGCTGGTCTTGCCAATTAAACTATTAATATAAGCTTTATACGTTTAAGGATCTTATCTATATTATTTACAGCAATATCCCCAGCACCCACCTTTGTCTAGTTCATGAGTTCAATAAATAAGTGTTGCCAAGGGATTCTTTAATGGTGGCATCACTATACATGTGGTATAAGTAGGTAGAACAAAGACATATTATACCGTGTGAACGCTGAGGACAGTGAACGCAGGCAGGTGTTATGGTTTGCAGAGATGAGGGGAGATGTAAGAATAGGGCATGATAAAATGCAACACTGTTCAACACTAATCAGTACAACTTACAAGGCCAAAAGGAGAGGGGAGAAATAATTAACTTACCAAAACATTGCAGTGTGAGGGATCCGAAACAATAATCGTCAATCTAGTTAAAATTTTAATTGGTCTTGATTTTCCCTGTATACAAAAAACATGCTATCAGAAAAACACAGAATACAACTGATTGATTTTCCTCCTTACAAGTACTTTACCTTTTAAGTATTCCTTAAAAGGTACAAGCTGTAAGGGATAGTGAAGATCAATAAAACCCAGTCCTTGTTCTCCAGGAATTTATAATACAGCCAGAGAAAAGATGTATGTATATTAAATTATATAATGAGATAATTTAAAAGTTGTAGGACTTCAGGAAAGAAGATCATCAAAGAAGTACTGAACTGATAGTAACAGAACATTTCATGGAAGAGCTGAGCCTTGATGAAAAGGTAGGATTGGTAGGCAGAGAAGATGCAGCTTAGGTTAGAGAATAGCACACACAATTGGGTATGTTTTAATTGAATAAATAGGTATTATGCTTCTTAAACAACAAACACCTGCCTGTACAACTGGCAAAGTTGTGAAAAGTTCAGAGACAGCTACAGGTTTTTCAATTTCCTGCAACAAACAATATATAGTCACCACAGATTGTACATGTTAATGGCATGAAAAATGGAAAACTTATAATGGGTTCTAAGAGAAAAAAAAAACCCTATATATACATATATATTGTTTTAAAAATAAAGAAAGCTGATTTATGGTACTCAGAAAGACTAAATAAGCTTTTTGTAATTATTATTTTTATTAAAGAAAGCTAAATAGCCAAGAACATCAGTGAATAGGAGGGATAAAAACTAATTTTTATATTGAAATAATCTATAGGATACAATTGTTGATCTAAAGAGAAATACATATTAGCATAAAAGCTAGAGTCCACGTCAACTAAAAGGACTACATGTTGTGATTACAGTCAGTAACAATGTACTTTTTAAACATTATTGCAACAATTAACATCAAGTCAACTTCAGAAATCCTTACACTGTGCCACAGTACTTCACAAAAATCTTCATTTGTATAAATATGCACCAGTACAACTGTTAACATGTAAGAAAATAATAGTGTACAAAGGATTGCATTTATGAAATATGCTCATCTGTAGCTCCCACATTACTAATATAAACACAAATAATTATAAATACTATTTCTTCACTTATTAGCTTCAGAAATCTTATTTTACCTGTTTCTTTTCCTTAAAGTCAACAACATGATTGATAGCAACAACTGAATAGCCAACTGTAAAGAAAAATTGAAGATTCTTGTTAAATATAACCACCTCTCCTTTTTGTACACACAAGCCCATCCTGATTCTAGATGTCAAGACTCGGAGGCAGTTTGCAGAGTGGTTATGGGTGCAAGCTCTGGCGTCAGACCTCCTGCTTTCAAATCTAAGCACTACCATTTAAAGTTACTCAATGTTAAGTTTCAGGTCATCTGTTAGATGGTGATAATAACAGCAGTTACTTCATATACCTGTTATGAGAATTAAATGAAATAACACACATTAAGGTGTTTGAGAACAGTACCTGGCACACAGTCAGGGCTTTGTTTAACTATTTTGATTTATTATTAGCATGATACTAAAGACCTTTTTGTATAGCTTTGTGTCTCTCCTTTCCAACCATCATTCTTTTTCATATCCCTTTGTTCATTTTCATCCCATGAAGTTCATACTTTTTCACTGTGACCTTTATTCTTGCTCATTTCTTTTGTCTTTTACCCTTCTACTTCCTTCAGAGAACACTTTCCTAAGGAGAAACAGAGTAATGACTCCCTCACACCACTGCCTACTTCCCCTTATGAACTGCCCACTATCAATAGATTGGGAACTCTTTGAGGCCCAATGGTTGTCTTTATCACCCTCATCACAGCACTGTTCTTGACATTTGGTATAAAAAATGCATCTAAATCATGACTGCTATCTTTAAGCTTTTTTTTTTTTTTTTTTTGAGACAGAGTCTCGCTTTGTTGTCCAGGCTAGAGTGAGTGCCGTGGCGTCAGCCTAGCTCACAGCAACCTAAACTCCTGGGCTCAAGCGATCCTCCTGCCTCAGCCTCCTGAGTAGCTGGGACTACAGGCATGCGCCACCATGCCCGGCTAATTTTTTTTATATATATATCAGTTGGCCAATTAATTTCTTTCTATTTATAGTAGAGACGGGGTCTCGCTCTTGCTCAGGCTGGTTTTGAACTCCTGACCTTGAGCAATCCGCCCGCCTCGGCCTCCCAAGAGCTAGGATTACAGGTGTGAGCCACAGCGCCCGGCCTCTTTAAGCTTTTAAAACATCAATTGGGATGACAGGACATTAATACTAAAAGATAATATATATTATGCTAAAATAGTGGTCCCCTCTCTCATCAGTTTGTCCAAATTCCTTCTTTCTTGTCTCCCACAAGTATTTATTGAGCATCAGTATTTCAGAGGTCCTATGCTAGGTGCCGAGCATACAGGGTAAATAATACAATCCTCATCCTTAAGGAGCTTACAGTTTATTGGAAAAATAAGGCAATTAAGTCATATATAAATAAAAATTTTTATAAGTAAAGCTTCTATGGAAGCATACAGCAGAATGAAATCTGGTGTACAGGGTCAGAAAAGGCTCCTTGGAGACAGTGATCTTTAAAAACAAAAACTAGAAATGTGCCCATACGTTGGGCTTCACCTTTCACCCAGTCAAATCAGTCAGCCACACCTCCTCCCCATTCTTCTTAACCATACTCCCAAGTCTAACCTTTCTTGATAAACCTATTTGAAATACCCTTTTGGCCATTTGTAAAGTCTCTCCTGTCCTTCTGAAATGTTAACTAGATTCTGTTTCCCCATAAAATTTTTTTCTAGACTACTCCTCTTCTGACATCTTAGGAGTACTTCCCCAATCAGTCTTTGGTGTATTTTTATCTATATAGCATATTCCTGAAGCTTATCATAGTTTTCTTACATCACATCATAAACTAAGAACCCAGGCTCTGTCTTCTTTATTCTTTGAAAATTTTCATTCACCAAACAGCTGTCCTTTGCCTTTTGACTTGCAAGCTGAGGTGATTTCCTGTCATATGTCATGAATTTCATTTAATTTTCAAAGAAATAAATAAAGACTGGCTGACAATGTACATACATCACCACACCTCTTTCAAGCATATTTTAAATTGGGGCAATTCTCTAAAGATATCATTATAACTTTTCTTTTCTGTACTTATTTTTTAAAAGGTGTTCAGTTTATTTATTCCATAAGCATTAACTGAGTAATTACCATGCACAAGTGCCTGCAGAGTAACCATATTAAGCAGAGTAAATAAACAAAAGAATAAGACACAGCCACTCTCTAAAGAAGCTTATGGTGTATTAAAAAGGTGATGGCATCAGGAAAAGCTTCATTAAGGAGGTAATGCTTCAACGGGCTACACCCAGGAAAATTTATTTTACAGGAACTATCAAAGAATAATAGCACTAAATGGTCCAGATCATGTCTACTGATGAGAAAAGTACATCCTAGAAAGACAATTAGTGATAGCAACGGAAAGATAAAGTCATTTCCCTGAGGATACTTCATAAAGAGGACAAGAAGAAATGGTGTTGATTCACTCTGTTAAAAAGTAGCTGTTTCTAGCACCACCTCTGAAAAATATTAGTAATCAGCTGTTAGAATGAGCTGAGAACTGTCTCCGAGGAACAGATGTTACTGCACAAACCTCTTTCATCTTTTAACCTATCTCCACACTTTGCAGTCTAAGGAAGACAGAAACCATGACTAACTCAAAGGTCTCATCTCTCAGGGCTTTCTCTCCCCTTTGATTTAAATATGAGTAACATCCTAACATTCTGGCCAAGCTGTCCTCTCCCCGCCGCCCCCTGCCTAGTATGTTCTCCACCCCCCACCTACCCTCTCTCTAGATAATATTAATCCGACACTCACACCCCCATGTCTACCCCCCCTCTGAGCCTCCACAGCACTCTCAGTCTGTGCTCCGGCTTCCCGCATTCGTTCAGCCACTGTCGTGAGAGTTAAGAAGGGCTGATACTAAAAACTCTGGCTTAGAAAACTATACTTGGAGGCTAGCTCTGGTTTCTGCCATCCATCAGCTGTGGGGCCCCACGCAAATCTCTCGCCCTCGTTGGGCCGTAGCTCCCTCAATTTTCAGGAAAAATGGAGCTAGAAGGGATAACAGCCCCCCTAGAATGTTTGAGTTTCCCGCGCCTAGGATCAGAGCAACACCGCGGCTGGCATCAGTCTCCAGGGACATCCCAGAGATTCCAGGAGACCCGAACGAGGCCTGACAGGAAACAATTCCTCCCGAGCGTGGCCCGACTGTCTGAGAGACAGCAAGGCTGGGCAGGCGCCGCAGCCCACGAAAAAGGGGCGACTCACGGTGAGCAGCGGTCTCCACGAGCCCTCGCAGAGCCTTGAGGTCCGAACCAACCCGCAAGTCCAAGTCTGCAAACACCGCCATGCTGCAGTCCCATGACAGCCCGCGCGCGCCTGTCTGCGCAGCCGCCGGACCCGCCCCTCCAAGGCATTCTGGGAGTTGTAGTTTACCTACTTAGCCCGTCTCTCCCTCCAGCCGACTGTTTTACTTTAGGGATCCGCAGGTGCTTACTTGCCTTGAAGTACCAGCAAAAGTTAGTGTGTTGAACCAACAGCTTCAATCCTTGTTTGTCTTCTGTTGAATGACAATGTTTGGTTCCTCCTGGAGGGGTTCCAATCCCCTACTATTCCTCCTATACAATAACGTAAAAAGCGTTCGAAATCCGCACGCAGTAATCTATTGATCAGAGACTTCTGCTAATACTGGCGCGGGCGCGCACGCACGCACGGGCGCGCGCGAGAGAGACAGAGACAGACAGAGACAGAGCCAGAGAGGGACTCTGACCTTAAGACTGACCATAAGAAAACTGCCCGAGACAAGGAAGGGTCTTTTTGCCCAATCAGAACCGGCGATGTCAAAGCACGCTGCTCTCTGTCACAGTCAACACCTTCAACCACAAGATGGCAGGGCTCTCTCTAGCATGAGACTCTGTTGGAGCCAACACTGTTTAGCAAAGGCAGCTTTGAGAGTGGAGGTGAAAATAGAAGTGTTTTACAATTTTCTATGTGAGAAATGTACAAGATACTGTATATTCCACATATTTGCTGTTTCCACTTTTTTGACTTCATGTAAATAAACGATTGAAGATTGGTAATCCATTTTCTCAAATTATCTGATGAAGGGCCATGTTCCCCTTTCCTTCTCCCCCTCACCCCCCAGTTCTTCACAGACCAGCACTTGGTCTCTTATGCGTTACTAGCAAGCAGCCTGACCTCATGCACTCATAAATTTGACAAAATCTGAACTGCCCTGTACCTGGCTGAGTAAGAAGAATCCAGTGATCAGGACTTGGATATCAGGATAATGCCAAAGTGCTGCAAACATTAATGTATTTACTGATCATAAACAGTTAGGGAGAGTGTCTCCGATCTATGGACCACAAATACTCTTTACACATTTTCTTGTTGGTCTCAGAAGGCTTGGGTCCTATTAGGGGAACTACATGTGGATCAAGGTAGTTTGGTTCAATTCTTGCCCAGAGTATTACCTCCTAAGCAAAGCCAGCAGAGAAGAGACTTGTGGGGAAGGGAGGAGGGAGAGAAAAGGAGGGAGAACAAAGGAAAGGGAAAGCAGGGGAGGAGAGGGAAGAAAAAAGAGAAGTGGAAGAGGGGACTAAAAAATGGGAAGAAGAAAAAGACAAGATGAGATAGGGGAGATGAACAGGAAAGAGGGGCCAGAAGTTGGCCTGGAGGGGTGGCTGAGGCAGCAAGGATCTTAAATTTGAAAAGAACCCTGGAAATTTCCCACTGGAAGATAAGAGTATTGTACAATCATTAATATTATAAGTATTTTACATTTATTATCTTATTTAATCCTTACAACAGCCAATGAGAGAGACATTGTTATTCCTGTTATAGCAAGGGAGAGTTCTGGGCTCAGAAAGGATGGCTCTTAAGTCATTTTTTATTCTCTGGAGAGCTTAGAAAGAGAGAGTAGGCCAGGCGTGGTGGCTCATGCCTGTAATCCTAGCACTCTGGGAGGCCGAGATGGGCGGATGGTTTGAGCTCAGAGTTCAAGACCAGCCTGAGCAAGAGTGAGACTCCATCTCTGCTAAAAATAGAAAGAAAGAACTTAGCTGGACAACTAAAAATATATAGAAAAAATTAGCCGGGCATGGTGGCACATGCCTGTAGTCCCAGCTACTTGGGAGGCTGAGGCAGAAGTATTGCTTAAGGCCAGGAGTTTCAGGTTGCTGTGAACTAGGCTGATGCCACAGCACTCTAGCCTGGGCAACAGAGTGAGAATCTGTCTCAAAAAAAAAAAAGAGAGAGCGTGGTTTTTCACATCCAAAGCAACTTTTGGAGCCTTCTCGGTCTCCCGGAAGACTTCTCTTTCTTGGGCTGTGTGTGGAGTTGGGTGTGTGCTTGATTAGTTTTTAGCCTTATCCTCCATTCATTTGTGTCACCCTTCCTGAGTGAGCCAAGACACACTGCACCTAACCCGTCCTCTTGCTGCGTAAGGCTGAAGAAGGAGCCAGGCAAGAAAGCCATACTATTACATGACATGCACAGATGTGTTGGGAGGACCTACTAGGATCTTCTCTTTCAATTTCAGGGAGCAGTTAGGGAGATCTGAAGAGGAAAAGAGGCAGTTTCCCTGAGGGGGTAATGCTTGAATTAAATTTTGATGTATAAACTTGAAGAGAAACATGATGCAGAGATCATGATGCAGGTATCTAGGGTATATCTGGAGCTGCACAAAGTCGGTGGTACTCAGTCAAAAGTTGCTGATTGAATGAATGAACTCATGACCTCTTGTTCAACTTCATACCCATGTTAATGGGATTATAACACTGTTGGATATATTGAAATATCTTATCCCATGGCGACAAATTCTCTGAACTGTGCATACAGGCACTGGCATGATACACCAGTGACACACACAGAACCCTCCTCTTGTGTCCTAAATGATGGACACTTATAGGAACCTTTGGGGAGACTACACCAAAGACATTCTACCTCCAGGCAGGCATTGCATTTGTCCTATTCACCACATAGTTTGTGCAATGAACTGTCTGCCCAACCTTTTCCAAAAGCCCTGACAAAGCACATAGAGGGGTTAATTGCCAAGCCTAGAACTGCAGTGGGACTCCACAGGATATCACCTGCTCAGGAAGCCCTCACAATAATTCTTCCTTCATTGGGAAAGCTAAAAAAAATTATTCCCTCATCTTCTTGCCTTCCCTCAGAAACTCTTGTAACTGACCTAATATCATTAGAATCTGTCCACTTTCTGTGCTGGTGTAATCTATCCTTGCTTGCAATATTAAGGTTTTTTTTAATAAGTGCAATTATGATAAAAGTGAAATATTTCTTATACTCGTATGTCTATAAAAGTTTAAAATGAAAGACAGATGTAGAATGTTTGTATGCTACAAAAAAATTAACATGAGAGCATGCTTGATTGTGAAAATAAAGAGCATTCCTACCTTTTTAAGATGCAAAGTATGGTTGAATTTTTAAAAATACAACTTAACTGGGCCAGGCACAGTGGCTCATGCCTGTAATCCTACCACTCTGGGAGGCAGAGGCGGGTGGATAGTTTGAGCTCAGAAGTTCAAGACCAGCCTGAGCAAGAGCAAGACCCCGTCTCTACTAAAAAAATAGAAAGCCATTAATTGGCCAACTAAAAAATATAGAAAAAAAATTAGCTGGGCATGGTGGCACATGCTTGTATTCCCAGCTACTCAGGAGGCTGAGGCAGAAGGATTGCTTGAGCCCAGGAGTTTGAGGTTGTTGTGAGCTAGGCTGATGCCATGGCACTCTAGCCTGGGCAACAGAGTGAGACTCTGTCTCAAATAAATAAATAAATAAATAAAGTATACAATAAATTGTTATTTAAAAATAAATACAACTTAACACATTAATTGCCATGTGAACTGTGTTTAACTTATGCTAGTTTTTAGCCAGGGGCCTCGTGAAGCTAAACCTGGGTAGAATCCTGCAGTTAGTTCATGAAAAAAATCTTACTTGTCCATGTTCTTATTGTTATAATTAATATTGATACATTAATTCTCAAAATGTGGATTACATAAATAGAAGTCAATACATTTTCATTTCTCATTAAATTTCTCATCAAATAAGAAAGGATCATTTTGTTTTCAAAATTTGTATTCTATTTTTGTAATAAAACACTATGGTCTTAAGGGAAAAAAATTTTTTTCTGGTGTGGTAGTTAATGTGTTAAGAAGCCATTATGAAAGAAATCAAAGAAAGAACTATGACTGGTATGTGGAAAAATGCATGATGATAAATTTAATGAATGGAAAGAAGAGGACAGAAATTGTTGCTGAAAGTTCAGTACTTTTCCCTGAGGCCAAATCAGTGAGAATGAAGAACGAGGACAAGTGGTTTGAAGAAAAGGAAAGGGAAGTTTATTAATTTGCTGGCAAATGAGGAGGACAGTGAACTAGTGTCTCAAAGACTGCCATCATGCCTTTAAGCAGAAAAACAGGGCTTTTTAAAAGGGAGGTTTTAGAGGTTGGGCTTGGGTCTATGTCACATGTTGTGGCTTTGAGCTATTGCTGTTTAACTATAATTGGTGGTTTCAGTCTACCACGACCCTTGTTCGGGCAATTCTGTTGAGCCATCTCCTGAGGTTTAAGGTTCTAGAAACCAAACAGCAAAGAACATTTTTCTGCCCGTTTGATTATTAGCCTCAGGCAGGAATGCAGGTTTTAATTCCCAAAATGGTGGGGGGTGGTTTTAAAGAGACAACTCATAAAATATTTCATTGCCCTTTTTCAGATCTTTACCTCTGTTACAAAATTTCAACAGGGTTGGTTTTTTAAATATAAGTAAAATAAATGATTGTATGAGGGTTCTCCAGAGAAAAAGAACCAATAGGATGTTGGTTCACATACACAGACACACACACACAATATATGTATATTGAGAGAGAGAGATAGAAAGAGATAATGATTTATTTCAAGGAACTAGCTCAAGTGATAATGGAAGCTGACGAGCCCTACAATCTGTAGTCAACAAGCAGGAGATGCAAGACAGGTGACGGCATAGTTCAAAACTGAGTCCAAAGGCCTGAAAACCAGAATTGCTGATGATTTGGGCTGAACTGTAATCACAGTCCAAAGCAAGCTGTCTGAAGAGCAAGAAAGAGTGTACATTTCAATTTGAGTCCAAAGGCAGGGAAAATTTGACGTCCCAGCTTGAAGGTAGTCAGGCAAAAGGAATCATCCCTTACTCAAAGGAAGGTTAGTCTTTTGTTCTATTCAGGCCTTCAGCTGATTGGATGAGGCACACTCACATTAAGGAGGACAATTTGCTTTTCTCAGTCTACCTATTCAAATGTTAATCTCCAAAAACATGTTCACAGACACACCCCAATAATGTTTGACCAAGTACCTGGCACCCCATGACCCAGTCAAGTTGACACATAAAGTTAAC